TGAAGAGGCAAAAACAGTGCGAGTCACCCAGAGACAAGGGGACAGAGCAACCCTCAACCTCGCACATGACGAGAGGGGACCCAGGGGTCGCATCCATCGGACCCCTTGCTCCCCACGCTGGGTTTTCCAGGACCCTTTGACTGGTATCGCTAAGGATAAGCCCAGGCAGGGTACTGCGAACCGGTGCCCAACTCTACCAATCAAACTTCTAAAAGCTGAACCCCTAGGACGTGTCCGCTCACGGGGGCCTAGCAGTGGATACCACCAAGACCCCAGAGAAATATATATAATGATACACAGGGGAAAGCAACAAAAGGCAGACCCCCCCCACCAGGCATAAAACAAAAACAAAAGAAAAACCTCACAAGAGGATAATGTACCCAGGCGAAACAGAGCTGGCACTATAATAGATAACAACTAGCTGTGCAGTACCCTGTGCCCCTACCAGTGCAAACTACCCCTTACCCTAAGGTAAACAAGAGAGGAGGAAACCCCCCCCCCAGCATACTGAGGGCGGTCAATTACCGAGCAGCAAAAGACCAACAGAGGTAAACCCCAAGGTGACTTGAGGAAGATGAGCCCCAAGGGCGGTACTTACAAGGCACTTAGGGAAGGTAACCCTAAGCGCATGCAGCCCAAGCACCTGAGAATTTACTCCCAGCTCATGCACCACCCTGAAGACAGCACTGGACACAAAGCACAGCACAGGAAACACAAAATTCAGGAGCTGGAGTCACACGACCAAGCCTCAAACACATCAGCCGAGAACTGGGGTTTCTGGCCGAGAACTGGCCTCAGACTCCTCACGTAGCCGACGTGAGGAGTCTGAGGCTCTCCCTTCCCCCCTCCTGGGGAGGGGAAAGCTGTGCAGACGGCGGCGTGGTGACATCATGCTTGTTTGTCTTTGGGGAGTTCTGTCCACTCGTTTGACTTTCAGTAGTAGTTTCAACCAGAATAGGTGTTTGTTTTGGGATGCTTACCTTTCTGGGTGCCTGACCCGGTCGATGGCAGACAAAGAATGCTCCAAATCACATGTGCATTTCTATAGGCCATTGCTCTTCGTGCCTCTCTGAGGGGGGCCAGGGTCTGGCTTGTGATCCCCGGTAGGCCTAAGAACTCCATTCACACTGACTGATGCCAAAGTCTAATATATTCATATCAGCCTGAATAGCTCCAGGAAGTCGAAGGGGGCTCCCCCCAGAAAATTGTCATTGACTTCTCTGACACTGAAAAAGTTCTCTCTAATGTCTCTTTGGCTCATTTGGGAACTCAATTTCTACTCGTGTTCCCTAGTTCATATGCCCCCTGTGTTAAATACACTGTTTTTATCAACCCTATCAGTTCTTCTGAGAATCTTGTATGTGGTGATCTTGTCTTCCCTAACTCTTCTTTCTTCCAGTGATGTGAAGTTTACTTTCTGTAGTCTCTCCTCATATCCCTCAGCTCGAGTATTAGTGTGGTGGCATACCTCTGAACCTTCTCCAATTGAGTCTTGTTCTTCATGAAGATACAAACTCCATGCTGGAGCTGCATACTCCATGACTGATTTGACATATGTGGCATACAAAATTCCGAGTGATTCGTTACATAAGTTTCTAATTTTTTTTAGCCTAGATGTGATATTACATGTGATGAGAGACACAGTTACGCTTCCTGTCTGTGACCCTTCTTGTTATTTGATTACATTAGCCTGGTTAGATATTCCCTATCCTATCTCTGATACTTCTCCTTGTTCTAACGTGAAGAGCTCCTGGAATTTCTTAACGAGTTCCTCGCCCACTTCCTTGTCATTTGTATTGAACCTGTCTGCCCCTATCCTCAGTTTCATTACCTGTTAATTTACAGTTTTTCCTTCTGATGTGGCTGTGAAGCAATTTAGGTTGAGTCTTTGCCTTACTTGCTATGTCATTTTCATACTGTCTTTCTGCCTCTCTCCTCACCCTGAGGTACTCATTCCTGGTGCTCTGGTATTCTCTCTCTCCTCTCTGGTGTCTTGTTTCCCCATGCCTTTGTACTTAGTTACTTTATCAGCTTACATCCCTAATTAAACAATGGGTTCATTTGCATTTTTTCCGTTTGGACTCTGATAAACTTGTCTGCTGTCTCCTTACACTTCTGGGTGATGTAGTCCATGTTTTCTTGGGCAGTCTTTCCTCTGAGCTTTGTTTCCCACCATATATCTGTTAGAAATTTTCTTATCTCCTCATAGTTCCCTTTTGGAATGCAAGCCTTTTGTTTTCTGGTCCCTTCCTTGAGTACATTAACCCTACTTCTACCAGATATTCAAACCTTAGTACACTGCAATCATTCATTCAAACGGGAGCTTCGAATGGGATTTTCTTTAATGTCATATTCATTCAGAGTGAATACCAGGTTGAGGCTAGCTGGTTCATTATTCCCACTAATTCTTGTGGGTCCCCCAACATACTTAAAAAGTTTCTTGCTGCCACAGCCAATAATATTAGCTTTCCATATTCCTTCAACTCTGTGCAGTTCTTTGTTCTCCTAGTCTATCTTTCCATGGTTGAAATCTTCCTTGATGAGCAGATGGGATCGATTTCTACAGGTGACAGAGGTTGCCCTCTCAATTATAGTATTAACTGCCATGTTTCTGTCATGCTCTTGCCTGGGTCTTCTGTCATTTGGTGTAGGGTTATATATATCCTTCTGACTGTCTGTACTCACCTAGTTGTGCTTGTGAGGGGTTGAGCTCTGGCTCTTTGGTCCCACCTCTCAACTGTCAATCAATTAGTGTAAGATTCCTGAGCCTACTGGGCTCTGTCATATCTACATTTGAAACTGTGTATGGAGTCTGCCTCCATCACATCACTGCCAAATGCATTCCATCCTGTTAACTACTCTGACACTGAAAAAGTTCTTTCTAATGTCCCTGTGGCCCATTTGGGTACTTCATTTCCACTTGTGTCCCTTTGTTCTAGTACCACCCATGTTAAACAATTTATCTTTATCTACCCTGTTGATTCGTCTTAGAATTTTGTAGGTAGTGATCACATCTCCCCTTACTCATCAGTCTTCCAGCGTCATGAGGTGCATTATATGCAGCCATTCCTCATAACTCATGGCTCATAGTTCTGGGACTAGCCTAGTGGCAGACCTCTGAACTTTTTCCAGCTTAGTCCTGTGCTTGACAACATATGGGCTCCATGCTGGGGCTGCATACTCTAGGACTGGTCTTACATATGTGGTATACAAGGTTCTGAATGATTCCTTACACAGGTTCCTGAAGGCCGTCCTGATGTTAGCCAGCCTTACATATGCTGCTGATGTTATTATTTCTACGTGGGCTTCAGGAGACAGGTTTGGCGTGATATCAACCCTTAGATCTTTCTCTCTGTCCATTTCATGATGGACTTCATCTCCCATTCGGTATACCATGTCTGGCCTCCTGTTTACCTGCTTGATACCTGCTTGATGGGGTTCTGGGAGTTCTTCTACTCCCCAAGCCCGGCCCGAGGCCAGGCTCGACTTGTGAGAGTTTGATCCACCAGACTGTTGCTTGGAGCGGCCCGCTAGGCCCACATACCCACCACAGGCCGGCTGATCCGGAACTTCTCTTAGAAAACAGTCCAGTATTCTCTTGAAAATGTCCACAGTTGTTCCGGCAGTTTTTCTTATAGTCGCTGGGAGGACGTTGAACAACCGCGGACCTCTGATGTTTATACAGTGTTCTCTGATTGTGCCTATGGCACCTCTGCTCTTCACTGGTTCTATTCTGCATTTTCTTTCATATTGTTCACTCCAGTACGTTGTTATTTTACTGTGTAGAGTTGGGATCTGGCACTCCAGTATTTTCCATGTGTATATTATTTGGTATCTCTCTCGTCTTCTTTCTAGTGAGTACATTTGGAGGGCTTTGAGACGATCCCAATAATATAGGTGTTTTATCTCGTCTATGCGTGCCGTATATGTCCTCTGTATTCCCTCTATTTCAGCAATCTCTCCTGCTCTGAAGGGGAAAGTGAGTACTGAGCAGTACTCAAGACGGGACAACACAAGTAACTTAAAAAGTACAACCATTGTGATCGGATCCACTGCCAAGTTTCAATACCTTACATTTACTCGGGTTGAACTTTAGTAACCATTTGTTGGACCATTCATTCAGTTTGTCTAGGTCATCTTGTACCCTCATACTATCTTCCTCTGTCTTAATCCTCCTTATAATTTTTGCATCATCAGCAAACAATGAGAGGAATGAGGCTATTCCCTCTGGGAGATCATTTACATGCATCAGAAACTGTGGTCCATGTGGGACCTCATTAATGATGCCTCGCCACTCTAGAGACCTCCCCCTCACAGTGACTCGCTGTTTTCTGTTGCTTAGGTACTCCCTTATCCAGTGGATTACCGTCCCTTTCACTCCTGTTTGTATCTCCAGCTTGTGCATTAGTCTCTTAAGTGGTACTGTGTCAAAGGCTTATGGCAATCCAAACATACGCAGTCTGCCCACCTGGTTGATACCTGGTTGATGGGGTTCTGGGAGTTCTTCTACTCCCCAAGCCCGGCCCGAGGCCAGGCTCGACTTGTGAGAGTTTGGTCCACCAGGCTGTTGCTTGGAGCGGCCCGCAGGCCCACATACCCACCACAGCCCGGTTGGTCCGGCACCCCTTGGAGGAATAAATCTAGTTTCCTCTTGAAAATGTCCACGGTTGTTCCGGCAATATTTCTTATGCTTGCTGGGAGGACGTTGAACAACCGCGGACCTCTGATGTTTATACAGTGTTCTCTGATTGTGCCTATGGCACCTCTGCTCTTCACTGGTTCTATTCTACATTTTCTTCCATGTCGTTCACTCCAGTACGTTGTTTTACAACGTTTACAACGTTTTACGTACGTTGTTCCAGTACACCCCCTCTCTTCCTTGCCAGATTTTTGTGTCCTGGTCGTAGAATTTTATTAATCCTGTGTAATCTGTCAGTGTCTGTCTGTCTGTGTCTAAACAGGTAAGTAATTTTCTATTAAAACAAAAGACTGGAAAATACCTGTGGTGGTCCCTGTGGTCCTGAGGGGAGGTTCTGCTTCACCATGGCCTCTGCAGTTGGAGAATTGCCAGATTTTAGCAACTCCTTTGCAATTGTTGCTGTTGCTTGCATGTTCACCATTGGACCCACACTCACCATGCCCATACCTGCAGAAACATCATAATTAACCAAGTACAGCCAAACAACTTTGTGCACAATCACCAATTTCAATACTAGTCATGAGCTTGGTATTCTAACAAGATTCTGTTAAGTATTTCTGGGTCATTTATATATTGTCATTGGAGGGATAGTGTAAGATGACAATAAGGATATAATAAATAAGTAACCTGAGGCTAGACCTGACAAGGGAAAGTATACCTTGAGTACCCTTGGAGGGTATTCCGGGAGCTCTAATACTCCCCTAACCTGGCCTGACGCCAGGCTACTCTTGTGATAGCTTCATCTAGAATGCTGCTGCTTGCAGTGGGCAGAAGGCCATCATATCCATTGTAACCTGACTGGTCAGATACTAATGTTTAACTCAGGTAAGTGTACAGTAATGAAATTCGGTGAAGGGAGCAGGAGGCCAATACAAGGTACCATCTGGGAGGTGAAATCTTTCAAGAGTCAAAAAGAAAGATTTGTGGGTTGATATCTCACCAAAGCTGTCCCCAGAATCCCACATCAAAAGGATATCAGCAGCAGCATATGCTATACTGGCCAACATAAGAATTGCCTTTGGAAACTTGTGTAGGGAATTACACACAGAAATCACAATAGCGTGATGCATCAAATGAACAAATCCACAAGGGCAGTGACGAGGGTTTCAAACCTAAATCCGAGAGGATCCCAGACGCTGCATCGACTGAGCTACGATTTGATACCTTACCATGTATCTGTATACTGAGCATGTATACTGTATACTTACCATGTATAATACTGAGCAAGGTAGCTCAGTAGCTCGTAGCTCAGTCGATTAAGGCAGCGTCTGGGATCCTCTTGGACGTAGGTTTGAATCCTCGTCACGGCCCTTGTGGATTTGTTTCTTGTGTAAGGAATCATTCAGAACCTTGAATACCACTTATGTCAGACCAATCCTGGAGAATTCAGCTCCAGCCTAGAGACCATACCTAGTTAAACACAAGACAAAGTTAAGAGGAGATTCAGAGGTATGCCACCAGACCAGTCCCAGAACCGAGAGGTATGAGCTACAATGAAAGACTACGGGAGTTAAACCTCATGTCCCTGGAAGACAGAAGAGTAAGGGGATACATGACAACCACCTACAAAATTCTCAGGGGAATTGACAGAGTACCTGCTAGATACCCGCTTCATGGGGTTCTGGGAGTTGTTCTACTCCCCAAGCCCGGCCCGAGACAAGGCTTGACTTATGAGAGCTTGGTCCACCAGGCTGTTGCTTGGAGCGGCCCGCAGGCCCACATACCCACCGCAGCCCAGTTGGTTCGACACTTTTTTAGAAAACAGTCTAGTTTTCTCTTGAAGATGTCCACAGTTGTTCTGGCTATATTTCTTATAGTCGCTGGAAGGACATTGAACAACCACGGACCTCTGATGTTTATAGTGTTCTCTGATGGTGCCTATGGCACCTCTGCTCTTCACTGGTTCTATTCTGCATTTTCTTCCATATCGTTCACTCCAGTACGTTGTTATTTTACTATGTAGATTTGGGACCTAGCCCTCCAGTATTTTCCTTGAGTATATTATTTGGTATCTCTCTCATCTCCTTTCTAATGAGTACATTTGGAGAGCTTTCAGACGATCCCAATAATTTAGGTGCTTTATCGCGTCTGTGCGTCCCGTATATGTTCTCTGTATTCCCTCTATTTCAGCAATCTCTCCTGCTCTGAAGGGGGAAGCGAGTACTGAGCAGTACTCAAAACGTGACAACACAAGTGACTTGAAAAGTACAACCATTGTGATCCCTGGATTTGAAAGTTCTCATAATCCATCCTATCATTTTTCTGGCTGACGCCATATTTGCTTGGTTATGCTCCCTAAACGTTAGGTCGTCGGACATCATTATTCCCAAATCGTTGACATGCTGTTTTCCTACCATGGGCAGATTCGATTGTATTTTGTACCATGTATTACGTTTCAGATCCTCATTTTTGCTGTGCCTGAGTACCTGGAATTTATCACTATTAACCATCATGTTATTTTCTGCTGCCCAATCGAAAACTTTGTTGACATCTGCTTGTAGTTTTTCAATGTCTTCTGAAGAGGTAATTTTCATGCTAATTTTTCTGTCATCTTCAAAGGATGATACAAAGCTGTGACTTGTGTTTTTGTCTATATCTGATATGAGAATAAGGAAAAAGCAGTGGTGCAAGGTCTGTACCTTGAGGTACAGAGCTTTTAACTGCGCTTGGACTCGATTTTATTTGATTGACTGTTACTCTCTGTGTTCTGTTTGTCAGGAAATTGAGTATCCAGCCTCCTACTTTACCAGTTATTCTCTTTGACCTCATTTTGTGGGCTATCACTCCATGGTCACATTTGTCGAATGCCTTTGCAAAGTCTGTGTATACAACATCTGCATTTTGCTTTTCTTCTAGATCTTCTGTGATTTTGTCATAGTGGTTGAGTAACTGTGACAGACAGGATCTTCCCGCTCTAAATCCACGTTGTCCTGGGTTGTGTAGCTCATTATTTTCCAAAGACAACGGGTGTACAAAGACAAAATATTTAGCATGGGTGGAATATGAACAAGGGAACACAGGTGGAAACTTAGTACCCAAATGAGCCACAGACATATTAGAAAGAATATTTTCAGTGTCAGGGTAGTTAACAAATGGAATGTGTTAGGCAGTGATGTGGTGGAGGCTGACTCCATACACAGTTTCAAATGTAGACATAAGAGCCCACTAGGCTCAGGAACCTGTACAGTGGGAAGTGTAAGTGCTTATACAGTACGCAACTTACAAAATTGCAAATCCTGTTTCCTAGTTCTGCATCTCTGTTTTGGTATAAATTTTTTTGTGCCTTTATCATATATTTCACAAAACTTGCCATACATCTCATTCACTTCCTTGCCTAGCATCAAGTCTGTCCAATTATACTCACTAAAAAAATTTCTAAGGTCACCATAATGTCCTCTCCTGAAGTCTGGTTTTTCAACTGCTTCAACCTCCTTATTTTCTTCCAGCTTATAATGCATTGCATACTTTATTCCCAAAAAGACATGGTCACTTTTACCCAAGGGAGGAAGGTACTGAATGTCAAATAACTCTTCCTCCTTCCTGGTAAATATCAAATCTAGCATGGAGGGAACGTCCCCTTCACTCATCCTCGTAGCTTGTTTAACACGTTGATACAAGAATGTTTCCAGGATGAGGTCTACAAATTTACAGGTCCAAAAATCTTCTGTTTTAGCTTCATATGCTTCCCAGTCTATGGATTTCAAGTTGAAGTCACCGACTATCAACAGTCGTGATCTATCGTTATCCGCTCTCGCTATAATCTCTCTCATTATTGTTATAAGACCTTCACGTTTACTATCTAGCTCCTCCTTTGACCATGTGCTGCTTGGCGGTGGACTATATGCATTTATTATCATTAGTTTATCATCCTCATGGCAGATCTCTAGTGCTATTATGTCAACTTCTTGTGGATTGGCAGTCATTATTTCGTTCGCCTTTAGGTGTTCTTTTACCAGCACAGTAACGCCACCGCCTTTCCTAATTTTTCTGTCCCGTCTCCAAATTGAGTAGCCCCTTGGGAATATGACCTCATTTAAAATTACATCTTCAAGTTTTGTCTCCGTGAGTGCAACAATGTCTGGTGTCTGCAGCTGTATTACATCACTTAACTCCAGTATCTTTGATCTCACTCCATCTATGTTGGTGTATGCAATCTTCAGGAACTTGTTCCCCCTCTCCTTATTCTTCACTCCCCCCCTCTCTATTGATTTTGTTGGTTTGCCTTTATGTACCACTTTACTGGTTTGCCTACCCCTATCACTTTGTAGAAAAAAGAATTTATTTCTTCTTCATTCCTGCTCTCATTTAAATGTTTTGCCTCGGCGAGGTTCAGTTTCAGCTTCTCTCTATCTTCTTTTGAAAGATCTCGTCTTAACAACCACCCTTTCCCATCCTCATCACTTTGCAATTTTCTAGCATTCCTTAGTACTTCTTCCATCTGTTTGGCACCGTTTAGGGTGATCCTCAAAGGTCGATCTTTCCCTTTTACGTACCTGCCTATTCTCCTGTAGTCGCACACATTCTCTATGGTTGTAAGACCTTCCACGAGGCCAACAATTTTATCTACTACTTTAGCTTCTTCTACAGCTCTTTCTGACCTAGATGTTATCGCCTTTTCTTTGCAGCCAAAAATGATCGGGGACTTACTCCGATCAACTGTGTTTTGCACCAACTTCGGGTTAGATGCCAATTCTTTTCTCACTTCCAGCCTAATGTTTGTTTTATCTTGGTTGCTGCAGTGTTTGACTTCCTTTACTGCTTCTTCTATTTTTTCCTTCTCCTTGGCCACTTGTGCATAAGTGAGTTGCATATCTTTCTTGCACTGTTCTATTCCCTGTGTAACTTCCTCCATCTGTGCTGACAAAAGCTGTTTCTCCTGTTGAATTTCCTTGCCTAACCTATTGTAGTCATTTATGTTTAAATTTACTTTAACTTCTTCCAAAGCTATTTTTAAGAGTTTATTTTCTTCTTCCATGGCTTTGCAATTTGTTTCCAATTGATTCTTATCCTTGCGCAAGTCTTTCACTAAACCCTCAAGACATAAAACTTTGCTATTCAAATGGTCATTACTTTCTTTCAATTTACTAATTATTTCTACATGAGAGTTCACTATAGTATCTAAATTTACCAACTTGTTATGTAGACTGCTAATATCAATGCTTTCTTCATTGAATCCCTCAAAATCAAGCTCTGTTTTGTTTTTCCCCTTGCCAGTGGCCATCTTGAATGTTCTTCTCTGCACTGTAAACACTAGGGCAACTTTTTCTCATCCGATTTTTCACTTCCCTTAGCACTTTCCTGTTATCTCACCTATTTTTCAAGAGCACTATACCTTTATGTTCTCTGGGACACCACTCACTACCATCAACCTGTACTACAATACTTAGGATTGTTGAAATATGCTAGAGCTCCTCTGCTGCAAGTGTTGACCCTAGGGGTGTCACCTC